ACTTGTGGCAATATGATGAAATATTAATAGTGAAAACAAAGGAAAAGCTAATTGAGTGATAGCGAACTATACTGAGCTGGATTGCTCTTGCTTATTGCTGTTCTATGCAAACAGTTTGTTTTATTGGGCATAAGCTATAATTTACTTTCTGAATGTTTGCTAGGCACAGTGCAGGAAGGAGCCACGTTTCATTACCCTAGAGCCATTCTAGTGGTAGTGTGAGGGCCTTCTCCACAGAGACTGACTAGGAACTGTATTTGGTTTCTGTGGTTGTTGAGCCCATATAGAAGACATTTTTAAAGCAGTCTACAGGTTTAGATTCACTTTTTGGGGGAGGGGTGGTACTCGGGGATTGAACTCGGATCCTTGTGCTTAGCGAGGCAGGCAGCAGAACCACTGAGCTAGTTAATCCCCAGTCCTAGATTCACTTTTAAAGCAATTGAACCAGGCTGAGGGACGTTTCTTATTGTTGCCATGGAAAACAGAACCTGGCAAGGAATTCTGGGAACCTGAATGGCGGGGAATTCCAGGAACGTGATCATCAAAATATGGCTCCCTTACCTTGGCTACTAACCTGGCTTGTTTCCCTAGTCAAGTGTCTGTCTGCTGTATTGTATATGGCTAGGTGTGTTCTTGTGAAGAAAGCTAGTGTCAGGGCTTGTCGCCTGGAGGCTGGACAAGCAACAGAGACTGGTGGGAGGTGACGGTCGAGGAGCAGATGACAAAGTGGCAGCTCCCGGGACAGGTGCGGCCTACAGACACGGGGACACCCCTACCTCTCCACTGCCACAGAAGGTCTACATACAAAATCCAAACCACTGCCAGGACGAAGTTTTCTTGCCCACTAGTAGTGTTGAAGGAAGGTTTTTCATGAGTTGCTACTGGGCAGGGAGGTGGGAGGTGACGGTCGAGGAGCAGATGACAAAGTGGCAGCTCCCGGGACAGGTGCGGCCTACAGACACGGGGACACCCCTACCTCTCCACTGCCACAGAAGGTCTACATACAAACCCCAAACCACTGCCAGGACGAAGTTTTCTTGCCCACTAGTAGTGTTGAAGGAAGGTTTTTCATGAGTTGCTACTGGGCAGGGAGGTGGGGATAAAGGTGGCTGGGGCAGTCAGTTCTTTCCCAAAGTGTTTTTTTTTTTTTTTGTCAGCCGAAGTTTCTAATTTGGAAAAAATACATCGCTTGTCTATTAAAGTAAGATTTAAGAATCTTTGTAACCTAAGCGTACCTCTCAGTGCCTCCTTTGCGCTGCTGGCCTGTTTGTTTTACAGTTAAGGCAGTTGGCACTCACGCTGCTCCAGATGCCCGTCCTGGGCACAGTAGACCCCTCCTGGCTTCCCACGTCCACTTCCAGGAACTGAGCAGTAGGGAGGCTTGGAAGCTGAGCCTCATTCCGGTGCTAAGTAACTGTGGTTTGTTATGTTTTGCATATTTATAGAATGTAGGAAAAGGAGATGCGTGGGGTATGCATAAAAGGGTTTTTTGGTACCTGGACAATTCATTTCTATGAATTCTCTATTGAGTTGCTCTCAAGCATGAGTTCAAGCCAAACCAGAAAATGCAACTATTTACAAGGCATGCACATTGCATTAGGTACTATAAGTAATCTAGAAATGAATTTTTAAAAAAGGAAGAGGATAGGACAAAAAGGGGAAAGGGAAGTGGGAGAGGTAGGGGAAAGGAAAGAAGGGAATGGAATTAATAGGAAAAAATGGAAACGAAGTCTTTGTAAATGGGGAGGGATGGAGGGGTTGAAGGGAGGGCAGGGGAATGGGGAAAAATTAAGAACCAAGATGATAGATTATGTAGAAGGACAAATTTCCAATGATGAATGTCATTATATTGCATATCTAAAATGTACCAATAAAGTTAATTTAAAAATATGGAAGAGGCACACAGGTTCTTTGCAAATCCTATGCTATTTTTTGTAAGGGCTTTGATATCTGCAAGGGGGTCCTGTGATGAATCCCCCACAGATATCAATGGATCACCGTACTTTCCTTTTTTATAAGCGAACTGAGAAGAGATTTCATTATACTGACTGCTTTCAGCTCTATCTTGCTCAATCAAATTAATGAAGGACAAGTTCTTTTGTTTAAGTGCCAAATCCATTGTTATACAAGAGATTGTTTTGTGGACAGCTTTCTAAAAACAAATTTGAATTTCAAGGAAAATGAAGAAAGTGCAAAATTAACTTCAGTACAGGTCCCCTCCCCCCTTGGGGCTTTCTCTTAATCTCAAAACAAAATAGGGATATTTTTGCCATTGCATATACTTAATGTCCATAAATTCCAAAAAGCATAATTAAACCACATTATTTTATTGCAAATGTAAAATATACAAAACATTTAAAACCTGTAAACTCTCTAAAATGAACAATATTTATAAACTTGAAAAATATAAAATTTCATGAACATAATTTAAAATATATGAGAACATTTCACATATATTAATATGTTACTTTTGAACATGGCTTTGTTGAAAGGTAAAATTATCATTTACTTCAGTTTTACTGGTTTTAAGAAAAAATACTTGTGTTGGAATATTATATCGGTATCGATAGTACCAAGATGAAAGTCACTTTCACTTGGATGATGTAAAAGGAATTAATATGACACAAACAGAAAAGAAGAGGGGCTTATGAAAACTGGCACCCAGCAGTCTTACCTCTTTAGGAACAAGACTGTAAGAATTAACATGTAGATTCAAGGAGACCTAAATTTATCAAGTGCTTATAAAATACTGGGGATAAAGCAAGATATTTCCTATGTGTTTGACTTCATACTTTTAAAAAATGTGTGTTAATTTGATTTCATGTTGCTAAATCTAAAGGGTTTATGAGCTTCTGTAATCTGAATCATTATTGACTAAAGAATAAAATTATATGATGAAAAATAAAGCCATTAACTTTACAGCTTTAAGAAAGGCTTTCATTTCTTTCTATGCTGGCACAACTTTATAATCCTTTATGACAGATGTACCAAGATTCACATAATAGATCTTATAAATATATCTATGTGATGATAAATACATGCATTATATATATATATATATATATATATATATGTGAAGCAGCCAGATAAGACTAACGCAGTTGGTGTGAATAAGAGGATCCAGCATTTTATTCTTCAACAGCATCTTTCTATTTGGGAAAATTAGTGCTAGATTTGCAAAAACATTTTAAGTGTTTTTTGGGGGGGGGTACTGGGGATTGAACTCGGATCCTTGTGCTTGCGAAGCAGCTTCTGGAACAACTGAGCTAAATCCCCAGCCACATTTTAAGGGTTTTAATGCATATGTCCACCACTAATTTTCAGAGAGAGCTTTTCAAATATTTCATTGTCTTCCTACATATACAACTCACGGAATCTCTCTCAGTCTTTCTCCTGGGCATATATGTCAGTATCAGTTCATTTTCCAATCTAAGATACACACTGATCCTTGAGTTCCAAGAAATTTTGACCTCGGCACTATGTATCAAGGGCAAAGCTTAACGTTTAAGGTGTCAAGTAACAGGTGATAATTAATAAACATATGAATTTAAATTCCCAAGAGTGGAGCACCCCCCACCTTAGGTTTGATGTCAAAAATTCCATTAATTTCCATTAATTTCTGGGGAAAACAATGGAGTTCTCAATACTCTAAAGAATGTTTAAAAAGTTCTACAGTCTTCAAATACTACTTTTTACAAAAGACACTTCTACAAATTTGTGTTCACAGCTTATGTATCTGATATACCAGTAAAAGGAATTAGCAGTCGACAGAGTATATGTGTATTTACCTTGTGGTATCGGTCCAGGAATCTTCCACGGATAATCAATTTTCAAAAATTTAGCATGCCTTGAATTAATTAATGCTGACCATTAAACTATGCTGAAGACCTTAACAGCGGTTTAAGACTTTGCTGTCATTTCAGATCATCACTGTGAACATGTTCAGCAGAACTGTGGAAACGCTGAAGTCAGTTTAACAGAATTCTGATTGGCAGTTTATTTTTATTATCCTTGGTAGGCTTGACTTTGCTCAAAAGCAGAGAAACAAAATAATGTTTGAAGTTAGAAAAACAGTCCAGTCAATTTAAAACTTTCTTTTTGGTTAGAAGATTTGTTTTGACAGAATTTTCATCTAGACACGATAACAAATTTGTTTTCTATATGACCAATAGGTGATAGGAAATCTGCCCATAAGCTATAAAGTTCACCATAAATGTTATTCCTGCCATGAATCTGTAAACAGGAAAATAGTATGAAAATTTAATGTGAAAAAGAAGTTTGCAATAGCCTCTGGGGTCTTAATATTTTGTTTTCTAGAAGTTCATTATTCTTCCAACTCTCCTCAAACTATCAATATCTGTATGGAAAAACATGGCCAGCCAGGATGAATTTAACAGGAAAAAACCAATCTGGCCACTTACAGTGATAGGATATGCTCATTTTGAAAAGTTTGCAATTGATTATAATTTCCTTACTAAGGGTTACAGCACCAAATCTCAAGAGAACCACTACGATAATTTGTGCAATTTTTTTTTTTTTTAACCAAGAATTTTTTTCCAGTTGTTTCCAAACAGGCTTGGGAAACCTGTCCTGTAGGGATAAAATATTTGAGAAAAATTAAAGTGGACCATATAACCCTGATAAAATGTAGCAGTTATTTCACCAAAATACCTATCAACAAGAAAAACAACCTATGGGACAATAAAAGAATGGGACAAAATGAATATAAATAACTTCAAAGCTGAATTCACTTGTACTTTTCCAGAAAGTTCAATTTGTCTGATGCTATCCAGATTTGTGTTAAAACAACCTGTTCTTTGTATGTGTGTTTTTGGGAAAAGAAAAATTTGTTTCCTCTGTCCGAGATCTAAAGTATTTTCCTCCTCCTTCCATCCTCCCTCTTTAATTGGTAATCGTCGTATGCTGTTGATTGAACCACAGTTTATGTCTTCAATGGGTGGGTGTGCTTATGCATTCTAGCTCACCGACTGATCTAAAGTATTTTCCTCCTCCTTCCATCCTCCCTCTTTAATTGGTAATCGTCGTATGCTGTTTGATTGAACCACAGTTTATGTCTTCAATGGGTGGGTGTGCTTATGCATTCTAGCTCACCGAGGTACAGATTTTGAAGGCAGGCCTGTATTTTTTCCTCTAATACTCTGCCTTCTAATTTTCTAGTTTAAGAAAGGATGAAGCACCAGTGTACTCACTTCTCAGTTTTAATAACGTGGGATTATGGCTCATCAGAGAATGGTGTTCTCAGAACACAGATCACTTGACCTGTGAATTACCATGAATCTAGCTAGGAACAGCCAACAGGGAAATGAGGCACCACCTGGCAAAATCAAATCTATTGTTGCCAGAGAGATTATTCTGGGACAAATATAACTCAACTTCTTTTGTGCTTAGGCAGTATTTAAAATTTTGCAGCAATCTTCTGGAAGAATATCAAAGCTTGATGTTCAAATCTGATGACCCAGACCCAAGTGAAGACTTTTAAAAATTTGGCCTCATGTTTAAAGTATTAGAATTTTAGAAACACTAACTTTCCCAACAGTACTTCCAAGAATAAGTCTTCTTTCTCCTCTCAAAGTGTCTGGTGAAATTTAGGATTTACAGAGGCTTTGATCATCAGTCCTGCTAAACAAGGTAACGTCATCTTCATATCCTGTTGTTGAAAAATCTACATTCTCTAGTAACATGTAATTATTCTCACCGCCATTTGGAGAAAGGACTTTTTCCTTAGCAGTGGATGTCAGTTCACTCCAGGTAATGCTGGTGTTTTTAAAAGCATGTAGAAGGAAGATGCCATTGATAATGGTGAAGAACCCACTCAAGGTTCCGATGATATCTCCAGCTTTCATGCCATACCACTCTTGGAATAAGATGGCGGAGCAAGTCACTACCATGGATGTGAAGATCACGTAATAAATAGGAGTCACAAGAGATGCATTAAAAGTGTCCAGTGCTTTGTTGAGATAGTTAATCTGGGTTGTTACTGAAAGCACAAGTACAGCCAGCAAAATGAAGACCAGTGGATTCTTGTAAACTGGTTTCTGATCTAGTAGTTCCTTAATGGCAATTCCCAGGCCCTTGACAGAAGAAACTGAAAATGCTCCAATTAAAGAACAGATTGAAATGTAGACCAGTATATTTGTCTGTCCTTTCTTAGGAGCGACAATTAAGATCAGCACCAAGGAGATTACAGTAATGATCACAGCAAAGGAAATAAATCCTGTTAAAAAGAGAAAAGAATTACACTTTTGGAAAATGCTTATTTCCAGAAAAGATCCTGCCTTTTTGAATTTCGTTAATCATTAGATTAAGAGCAAAAATACTTTAGAAATAGAAGATTAAATTAAAAATTAATATTCTATTGTACACTTTTCATTTTATAAAAAGCTTGAAACACATCTTTTTTTTGGTACCAGGGATCAAACTCAGGACCTTGTGCTTGCCAGGTAGGCAATGTGCCACTGAGCTAAATCCCCAGCCCTGAAGACATTTAATTCTCTGGCCCTTAAAACACATCATTTGAGTCTTCCCTATATTACGAAGTCAGACAGGTACTGTCATTTTTATTTTTATTTAGGGAGAAAGTGGCAAGAATTTAACCATAAATCTTCTGCCTCTACCAGGCCTATATCTACATTTCATTCCATGGAGAGACAGAATGGGCACAAAAATAAACTCTTTCACCTTTTCAGAAGACTTGTAATAAGCAAATCTTAATGGTGTCTCACAATCTGCAGTTCAGCTTGTAAATAATATTACTGTATTATTACAACTAGCAGTTGATTAGGAGAGAAAGAGGAGCAGAATTTGAATCTTTATTTAGGCTGAATCACAGACCTGGGTCTCTCAATTTCATTTCCATTTCATGCAGAGAAGTGACTTCCTCTTCTTGTGGGGCATGGATAACCATCACAGTTGACCCCAGTATACTTAGTATGCAGCCTATTTTCCCATGAATGTTCAAGTGCTCATTTAAAAAATAGGAAGACAATATTGCACTGTGGGGAGAGAAAAAAATGAGAGCATTATGGTTCAATTATGTTTTGATTTCACAGAAGCTCAGAAGTCATACTGTGGTATTCCAGGGAGCTGACTTGAATATGCCATGTGGCACTGAAAAGCCTGGGTGAGCTGTAAACTCAGAATTATGGTCAGTCACCTCTGTCTCACTGATTTACATCTGAAGAGCTGTCATAGACACTTACCACTCCTGTCATCGTCCCAAAACCTTCTACAAGGCTCTGTTCAGTTCATTTTCAATTGTCCCCTTTCTCCTATAAAGCTAAGCAAACAAAAGATTTTTCACGTCTTACCGGCATGATAGATTAAGTATCACTATCTGAAATGCTTAGTGCCAGAAGTGTTTCAGATTTTATGAATATTTGCATACACATAATGAGATGTCTTAGAGAAGGGACCTAAATCTAAACATATAATTTATTTATGTTTCCTGTATACCTTATATATATAGCTTTATGCAATATTTTTTATTTTTGTTTTTTTAAAATTAGCCAGTAGTTTTTATTAGTTCTAGACAATAAGAAGCAAGTTGATTTATATTGGCTCTTTATGTATTTCTCTGAACAATCAATGTAGTTCTGTTACCCACTTTTTAAAAAATAAATTTTCTTGGTACAAGTTAGATATTCATTATGATCACCTTCATCATAGGGAATTTGTACCTGTACACGGTATATCTTGATTTCTCTTTCTTTCCAATCCCCTCCCCTCCTTTCAATCCCTCTTCCCTTCCTTATTTACAGAAGTTTTGTTTCCATTTCTTCCTTCTTTTTTAAATATTTTTTTCCTTTCCTTCTACTCTCCTCCCTCCTCCCTAGTTCCCCTTTCCTTTAGAACAATGTTTTCATATTTCACATTAAGTATTATATATTTTGGCCCTTATTTACATTTTGTCTTTCACACCAGAGGCAATGAGATATTTACACACGTATGTCTGACTTATTTCACTTAAGATTATAGACTCAAGGTGCATCCACATAGGTATAAATGTCTCAAATTTATCCTTCTTTGTGGCTGAGTAGTACTCCATGGTAGCCAGTTTTTCCTCAGACAAAGGACTAATATTTAGAACGTACAAAAAATTATCAAAAGTCAGACTCCCTAAATTTAAAGACCCAATCCAAAAATCTGAAATGAATAGATACTTCTTAGATGAAAAAGTACAAATGGCAAATAAATAAATTAACACAATGCTGAGATTCCATCTCACTCCAGAAAGAATGGCTGCTATCAAGAATTCAACCAACAACAAATGATGACAGGAACTCTGGGGAAAATGGAACACTTTTCCTCTGTTGATACGAATGCAGACTGTTACAACCACTGTGGAAATCAGTGATAGGAATGCAGACTGTTACAACCACTGTGGAAATCAGTGTGGAGATTCCTCAAAAAACTAAAGCTAGAGGTTCCATCTGACCCAGCTATGACCCTTCTTGGTATCTTCCCGAGAGAAGTATCATACCACAGCAATACATGTGCCCCCGTGTTTATTGTGACAGACTCTGCAATGCGCAGCAGTTTTGGTATGCCTGTTTTATTGCAATCTGTCATCCGAGTCAGGTGTGGAAGTGTGGAATTTTCTACTTGTGGCATTATGTCCACATTCAAAAATTTTCAAAATTTGGATCTTTAGATTTATAGGTGTTCAACCTGCACATTTAGAATATATGCCCATAAAAGTTTCAAACAGAAGGATATATATCTGAAGAATTACTCAGCTCAGGGCTAATAGTTGGCTAGTACATATCGGTTCACCCATACGGATTATGAAAATTTAATGGAATTTTTTTCATACTACCTTCTATTGCCCTGGTACTTCTGCATATCCAATGCTCCCAGTCCTTTGGTTGTCGTGCACTGGCCTCAGGGAGTTCTGGATTGGCACTCTCAGAGTATGTGTTACTGGTCAGATCTGAACTATTCCCCCCCAGAACTTATGTGCTGAAGGTTTAGTTCCCAGTGTAATAATGTCCAAGAGGTGGAGCCTTTGGGAAGTGATTAGATTATGATGCTACAACCTCATCAGTGGACTAATGCATTGATAGGTTCCTTAGCTAAACGAGCTACTGGGAGGAAAGTGTAGGAGGTGGGACCTACTAGGAGGAAGTATGTCACTAGGGGAATATCCCTGAAAGATGAATTTTGTTTCTGGCTTCCCTCCCTCTAGCTACTTCCTGACAGCCATAAAGAGAGCAGCTTTATCTCACCATGTACTCCTGGTCATGATATTCAGCCTTGCCAGAGTCCTAAAGCAATGGGGCCAAGACTGGTGCCATATACCTATAATCCCAGCCCTTGGGAGGCTGACACAGGAGAATCACTGTGAATTTGAGGCCAGCATGGGCTATATAGTGAGTTCAAGGCCAGCTTGAAGTACATAGCAAGACCCTAACCTCAAACAAAACAAAAGTCAGTGGGGCTCAGTGATCCAGTGCTGGAGCTTCTGCATGCCGGCCTCCTTCCTTGGATGCTCTAGTGCTCCCAGTAATGCAAGTAATGGTGCCTATTCACCCTTGAGATGTGGAGCAATCACCACGTGCTTTCTTTGTATCCTGAATTATCCTCATGCGGCTACTTGTGGGATGGTAATTTTAGAGAATAGTAAAACTATTACTGTCATGGCTTGTGTCTCGATGTCCCCCAAAGCCTCATGCAGTCATGAGCAGAGCTTTTTTGGAGGTGGCTGAATCTGGAGGGTGTGATTCATGGTGCAATGCTAGGATTAAGGGTGCTGGGATTAAGGGTGTGTGATTGCTGGTTCAGTCCACTGACTGGTTTGTCACAGCCCTAATCCTGGTAGCCTGGGTACAATATAAGGGACAGAAAGAGCATTGTATTTGCATTGTTGCTTTTGCTAACTCCTGGCTGCCATGAGCTGTTTCTCTTCTAGAGGCCTGTCTGCCAATCATGCCACCCTGCATGGATGCCAGCCGATTATGGACTGAAACCTCTACAAACTATGAGCTACATGAACCTTTCCTAGTTTAACTTTGGGTGTTGGGTATTTTGTCTCAACAATGAGAAAAGCAACTAATACAATTACTATATTATTTATTCATTTCAAAGACAAGAGTTCTATGCACTTTGTGTGTACTGACTCCTTTAATTCTCAGAAAACAAATCCCATAAAGAGGATAAATAGAAGTGAATCATAAGCTTTCTAGTAGAGGCTGATAGCAAATGGAAATGAGAAAGACAAAATGGTAGCTTAGCTACAAAATAAGACTTCATGACTTCACTGAACACATTCATTTGAGATCATAACATACATTAATTCAGAAAAATCAGTTTCGCATACTATGATCCACTTGCTATTTTTAATAGTCTTTTTGTACTAAAAGAAACTACTGGGTATCCAAACAGAAGCATTCAGCAGACAATTTAAGAATTTTAATGAAAATTGAAATTTAACCTCAACACTGTGCTTTTAAAGTTTTCTGACAGCTACAGTCATTAATCACTATGACCACAGAAGGAATTAAAAGGACTCTGGCAATTTATTTAGGAGAAGTAAAAACAAAAATAAAACTCTGCTAGGGTTCACTGAGTCACAAATACAATGCATAATTATGTTAGCAGGAAACCACATTCACTGTCATTATGTTTACATATAATTTTCTACTTCCTATTACTATTGCTATTTTTTTATAGTCTAGGAAATTTTTCAACCACTAAGCCACATCTTTAGCCCAAGGAAAAAAAATGTTTCCCCATTTTACAAATGAGGAACTAAGATGCAGTGACCTGTCCAAAGCTTTTCAGAGGTCTTAGAATTATTTTGGGTCTTCTGTGCTGTCAGAGCTCAGGTTGGTGTAGACTTTCTGTTTTAAGGGAAAACATACATATACATATACATATACATACACATACACATATACATAGAAAATAATCAGCTTTGAAAACTAGAGATTAAAAAAATGCCAGCCCCAATCACCCTCTCCTTGCCTTACCTGCCATTACTATTCTTTCGCTCAGTGGCTACTCTGTAAGGCAGGTAAGCCAAGAATAGTCTGCTTGAGGCTGAAATTTTTTATTTCTAGTTTTCAAGGCCAATAATTTTCCAGCAAGGTCTTATTTTCAGAGAACCATGGTAGCAATGTGCTTTTAATAGTTTAAGTGTACTATCATATTAAAATATCTACAGAAACCAAACTCCTTATTGCTCACCTACCTTATGAGAACACTCAAGGCGCCCAGAGGGGTGACCAAGGTGGCAGGTGCAAATGCATAAGCTGCAAAATTTGCAGCCTCTCCTGCTCCCACTAGAAAGTAAGCAGAAGTATTAATGTATATGATGAATTTACTTATTGGAAGAGAAAACCAAATGACCCTTGTAAAACAGGAGACTTTATCTCAATGACACTAAAAGGAAGGATGTGCTAGGTAATCTTAACTGCCAGCTTGATTGTGTTCAGAGAAGCCTAGAGAGGTGATTGGGTCATGAGAGTATGATACTCATCGGTGGATTAATCCACACAGATACTGATAGCTGAGTGTGCTGTAGAAGGTAGAGTTCAGTTGGACATGGGTCACTGAGGGCGAGCCTTTGGAAGATATATCTCACCATGGCAACACTTTTTCCCTGTGGTACTCTGCTTCCCTGAGCAACTTTCCTCTTCCAAGCCCTTCTGCCATGATGGGCTTCTGCTTTGGAACCAGCTAGTCATTGACTGAGCCCTCTGAAACCCTAAGCCAAATAAACTTTTCCTCACTTAAATTGTGGTATCAGCTATTATGTCCCATTGATGAAAAGTGGACAAATGATTTAACTTTTTTTTTTTAAAGAGGGTAGGAGAGGACTGATATTAAGAGATTCAGATATGCTATAATTACCTGGTGATATAATGACTAATGGTGACTGATGAATACACGTTTGAAAGGACTTTCAAGAGGGATTTTAATTACTTCACTAATAAAAACATTTTACCACTTTAATAAAATCAAGCAGAGGTAGCTTTGGAGGAAGCAAGGACCTATTTTATTTTCTCAAGAATACCTACTGTCTTGTAAATTAAACAGCAACAAAGGAATTTGTAAAATTAGAACACTTTGTAGAGATCTGGTGTCTAGGTGGGGAATAGCCTGGAATCCCCGTTAAAGTCAGGCATTTCTGAATTGCACGTGAGCTACAACTAAGTAACAGTATCTGGGCAGCTCAAGAAGATTCAAGCAGCTATTGTAAAATCATGAAGGATCCTCTACCTAATCCTTTTTGTATTTGTGAAACTCTAGAGTTCCATAAAGTAGTGTAATACAAATAATTTCTAGAGTGAGGGCTACTGTATGGGAACCAAATTGTTTTCATAGATCATAACTGGATACTTGCCTAGGGAATGTAGTATTTTGTGCTGGCAAACTACACCAAGGAAACACTGATTGTAGATAGAAAAAAGAACTCTGTTTTCCCTTTCTATGGCCATTTTGCCACCCTACCCCCAATCTATAGAGGTATGGCATATGAATAAACCATAAAACAAATCTAAAAGTGATAACAATAATTAGGAGACTGCTCTTGTAATAATCCCTAGAATTTTCTTTAAGTATTAAGGCTTTCCTGAATACTTAATATTATTTATATTCTTATCTTAAAGACAGTATTCCAGCAAAACAATGACTTCATGATTAAAATATTGCATATTTGTCACTAGATATATCTCTAATGTATGCTTTTATCTCTTTATAGTGGAATAAGCTTTTTTATGTGGTGAAAATAAAATTGCAAATGTAGTCATAAAATGTTCTTCTAATATTTTCATTCTAAAGTAAGAGTAGAGGGTGAGGAGATGAAAGTAAGATAGGAAAAAGAATCACTCAATATCTGTCTCAAATTTTCCCAGTTCTTGGCAAGTTTTATTCAAGTAAAGTATGAAAGTAGGTATGAAAGTATCTTAAGAACTGAAGGCTATGCAAATTTAAATTATTTCTATTCATCATTCTTTTAGAGCCCACCATTTATTAAGGAAAAGGTACTCAAGTTCCTTCTTACAATAAGATCTCACACATAACTGAAATATTTTCCTAGTTTTTGGAAGCTTTCAGACTTCTGACTGCAGAGGGGAATGATTTACAAGTGGTGCGAAACCACAATTTATGATGCATTTTCTTTGGAAGTTTCAGACTTGGGATTTGAGAACGTTCAGAAGAGGATAAGAGGAAACTGAAATCAGTGGAAATGGCTGAGGGAGATAACACTGTCTTCTGCATGGACGTCACATTTGCATTTAGAAAAGTGTTTTCTAATCTACAGAGTTTTCCTTAACCCCTAGAGTAAGTCTGGGAGGGAGAAGAGTGCTGATAACCTTCATTTTCTCCATTTTTTTTTTTTTCAGTGTTAACAGCCAGAGAATCCTTGCATTTATTCTTGTTTGGTCTTGGCAAGGAAAATGTACACTCTCCAGAGAAAATATATAATTAGAACAATCACAGATTCAAATTAGGAGCTGGGGAAATACAAGAAAAAAACACTTTTCTCAATCCTTACGGGAAAGAAAATATAAGGCACTTGTGATGAAATGTATCAATATCAACTTTTTTCTTTGTATTCTATGACAGTACTGAGTATACAAGTATTGCAGAAGGGAAGCATGTAATGTAATGTAATATCATGTGCTTTATGATCTTTATATCCACACAAAATTTTTAGATTTAAATTCCATTCTTATCTGAAAGAGAAATTAATGTTGAAAAATTTCATGTAACATATATATCATTTTAAAAGCAAACTCTATTCTCACTATTAAGAACTTACTTGATAGTAATCCTGCCCACCACAGCCATTCCTTGAGGTAAGAATGCCCACCTTGTCCTAGGAAAACCAATAATAAAAATTAAATTCTGAATTAGGGAAAGAAGGGTAGAAAATTGAGTACCAGGAAAGGTTCTAGATTATGTTGAAAAAGACAAGGCTCAAGTGAATAAATCTGAAGTTATTGGAGTTTTTTCAGTCATTTCCAAATATCTTTTAAAATTTACATCACCTTTGATATTTACAGAAAGTTTTTTCTTTGTATGAAAATTTAATAATTGAGTTCATTTAATTATGTCAGTCAGAGGTACAGACATTGAATATTATAAACTGAATATTTTGTATAGCCATGGTTAAAATAAAAAACCCTAGAAGTTGTAAATTACATTGATAATTAATGAGGATTTTAAAGAAAAGAAGATAGTTTGATTTAGGCAATACAAAAATAACAAACATTAGACAAGTGTACTTTACTTAGTATGTACTTACCTTGGCATAATGAATTTTCTGTCTAGTGCACTTGCTTAAAAGGACAAAAAGCTTTCCAAAAGTATTCAAAAAATTATCTACTCACTACTATCTGTGATCTGAAGGCATTGTTATGTTTGCCTTACAAAATAGACTTTTCTCAATTTTAATATACTTAACTCCCTACTTTGACTTAGATGGTTTTGTTATAATTAAACTAAATGAGATATATAAGCTGTAAAGATTATCTTTGTGAAGTAGTTAACTATGTTTATTTAGGACTATCTCCTTACAAAATTTGCAAATAATTGAATAGGAATATCAAGTTATTGGACTTTATCACTGAACAGTTAGTATTTGAGTACAAGTGTAATAACATTTACTTATGGCAACTATGTGCATTTCTTTGTTTTCATTTATAATTTTGTGAATTTATGGTTTATATCCTCAGCCTATTTTCTGTTAAATTTTCTTGATGACTGCAGTCATTCTTTGCATATTATGAAACTTAGCTGTCCTCTTTATTTCATATTTTTTCTTCTAATATGTTGTGTACTTTTTAGTTTCAGCAAAGGTATTCCATAGAAGAGCTATCTGATCTTTATCTATCTATTCCCTTTCTTTTGGTCAATCTAGATAACATCTTCTTTTATAGGGAATAGATTCTTTATCTTTATGAGAAAAGCATTAATTTAGGTTTATTACAAAAATTATTTGTTTAAGTTTAACCCTAAACCATCTGGAATTTATTTTATTGAATAGTATAATGTAGAACTCTTATATTTATCTACTTTTTTCAAACTGTCTCCATAGTTTTAAATAAATAATTCATTTTTTTTCACTGATCTGAAAAGTTACCTTAAAAAACATTTTTAATGTTATATGTATGTGGGTCCACTTATAAGTTTTTAATAATCTATTATTTTATTAGTATAATGCCAGTACTAAGCTATTTTAATATAGCCATATGGTAGGTTTTGTTTTCTAGTGGTACAAATCTCCCTCAAAAGCACAGTTTTAGAAATCTGTTTGCATAATATTTAGTAATATATTTTTCCATTTGGGACTTAGACACTTTTAAAAAGTTTTTAATGATATTATACTTGATGAAAATGTATAGGAAATTCATCAATAATAAAGGGTACGGAGGCAGAGCCAACTTGGCAACTGAAATGTCACTATAGACCTAAGTCTATAGTTATCCGTCCATTGATTTAACAATTATTTACCAGGTGCCAAACACTGGGAGGGAAGGCTCCTATCTACTATCAGTACACAAGTAGGTCTGTTGACAATAATAACATATGCACAACCCCATGTCATTCTAGGGACAATGAAGGAAACTGTTGATGCAGTGGTGGGGTGGTGGGGATACAGGTGAAGGAGAGCTGCCCAGCCAGGTGGTCAGAGGAGGCCTCTCTAGGGGAGTGGCATAGAAACCAAAGTCGGAAAGGTGGTCAGCTGAATGAAAGGCAGTGAGAAGAGAATTCCAGACACTGGAAAGACCTCAGTCTGGGAAAGAACTTGGGGTGTTCCAAGAAGGAGCGAAAAGGAGGTTGCTGGATGGGCACATAAGAGAGCCCGGAGAGGCACCAGGGGCCACGTAATGTGGGAAGTCAGAGATGTGGGTGCCACAGCTGCCTCCCATAAGGAGACAGAGGCTAAGAGAAATAGTGGATGATTATGGCTGTAGCATTTTGGACTCACAAGAGGATTGTTCTGAGGTTAGAAACTTGAATTTATTAGTGAGGTGTGTTTCTTACCTGCTCTAATAGCGCCCTTGTTGGCCAACTGCAAGAGGCCCTTCTTTTTCAGTATGAAGCTGGAGCCAATACAAATACTGGAACTTACGGCCAGTAACAAGCCCACATAAAGACCGTATTTGTTTTGTACATTTGCTGAAATGCTCACGCTGGTTATGCTGGAATTCAGGTTCTTGTAGAGGACAGACGCCAGCAGCTGTGACACATTAGTGATCTCACACCAAGCTTGGGAAGAGTTTGGGCAGACCAGAGACAGCACAGAACCTGGAGGAAGGAAAGAGAAATGTCAAGAATGCAAAGGATTAAGATGTGCTGAGTGCATGTACCAACACTCCGCTATGAATGTGATCATTATGCAGAGCAAACGTGCAGTACTAATAAAAAGAAAGAAAGAAAAAGGAATGCAAGAGACATGTACATGTGTTAATGCTTACCTGCTTACTGCAAGAAACAGACTTGAGAGGATGGTACTGAAATACTTCTAGTGTGATCAGGCAAGTCCCTAACAGACAGGCCACAGGCCTATAGATATTTTCTATTTGGTTTGTTCTTAAACATGATTTCAAATTGCTTAGTTGTAGCCATTTTAAAATGAGACATTTCACAGGCAAGTCTAGAATCCCCTTGTAAATTGGCAATATTTGAGTCTCTGTTCTGGCACAAGAGCAACCTGCTGGAGTCCTGAGGAAACTGCTTAGACCCAGCTTCTGCTCAATAATTCATCTCAATCTCCCACATCTGCTTATGCTTTTGCCTTATCAGCCTGTCTCTCAGAAAACACAGTTTTTAAAAAAGGCCACAGCAACCCCACTGGCCTATAAATTAACACGTTACAGGAAACTTAGCCTAACCCATTTGGTGGGTATGAATTCTGTGTTTCAGGAATTGTGTTTAAAGTGAGTTTAATTTTCCCTAACACATGCCCTAAGAAAGGGACTTGCCAGGTCTATTAACCTATCTTCTAAATAAAACAGAATCTAATAAAACATCAATTAAATATCGATAGGCTTTTAAAAAAGCTTTTAAATTTTCATTTAGCTATTTGCCTAGTACTGTGTTTGCAGTACATAATACTTACACTCCTTGTTTGGTACATATACACAACCCAGTGTTAATTCCTCTCTTCATCCCCTTTCCCTCCTTGCCTAAGCCTCCTTCCATCTCTCCATTCCCTTCCTCTCTGAGAAAGCTCCATCTCACTACTTCCTATTATCTATCTTTTATTCTACTCTTTATTTATATTTTGGGTTTCTCATATAAGAGAAACCATGTGATAGTTAAACTTGTATGTCTAATTTATTTCACTTAACATTATCACCTCAAAGTGATCCATTTTCCCACAAATGACTCAAAATTATCTTTCTTTCTGTTAGAGTACTCTGTAACTACCACATTTACTCCATAAATACTACGTTTATCCATGCATCCGTTGATGGATATACAGTCTACTTATCAGTAGGTCTTTTAAAGAATAAAATTCAAATAAGTATGTCACTCTATTAAACCATACCCATTATTATACTTTGGATTTTTGAGGCAAAACATCAAAATACAAAATGAAACATTTTGCACTATACAAGCAACTTTTTATAATCTCTTTGCCATTTGAACGGATATCCAAAGTGACACTGTGACTAAATGTTCTATTGTCTCATCTATTTTCCTTTTCAAAGAGGCAAATTCTCCCAATATGAGTTACTGTAATAAAAAAGTACAGAGGAAAGTTATGAAGCACAACTGTGGAATTTAATGAAAAAATGGTTTATCAAAGGAATCTGAAGAATCATATGAACAACAACAAAAAAAGACAGTTTGACCAAGTAACATCTTAGGAACAAAACTCCCAGAAGCACATCTTTATAAACATGAAGTTATCTGAATTTCTACCCCATACAATGTTAGGCAACAACCCTCAAGTTCAGGCCTGGAATTCAAATATTTCGTGACTATTATCTATCTCTAACATGAAAATGAGCCAATCTTGTTTTAGAGATGCAGAATAAATTCTGAGTTAAAACTCTAAACTATTCCAAAGAGAATTACATTCCTTCAGGGATATTTATACTCCTGGGGAATATTTAGGCAGGTTGTTTTAGTAGGAACACCTGCAAATCCTCATGCAAGCTATCCCTTAGTAATCTTCTGCCTACTGTGTACCTCATCTAAAGCCCAGGAACGGAAAATGAATATTTACATTTTTGTCAGTAAAAATTTCGTTTGTGCTCACCCCGGAGAAAACATCTGACCCGACTTCCTCGTGGATTTGACAGCTGCATTCGTGTCATTTACTATGCAGTTAACATAGCCATTCCAAAACTTCATCTCTGGAATCGGGGTGGGTGGACCTCATTCCAGAGAAACAGTATGCTTTCTAAGCAGATGACCCAGCAAAATGTTTCCAACATTTCAGGGGGTGCAGAATCTGTGTCGCACTTTCCAAGTTCTCCTTGTAAGTGGCGACATTCATGCTGTGAGTTTTATGACAGGAAAAATAATAAAACTTCCGTCTAGTTGTCGACCTTAGAACTGAAACTGTTTTATGTTTCGGGAGCGGGTCCGGGAGGAGTCTACACGAGATATGACGGGGTGCGGTGGGGCTGTCGGCCCAGTGGGTGTGGACTGGTGTGGGGCAAGGGGCAGAGACTGTTGACGTGAGTGTGTGGGCGGAGTTCAGAGGGTCTCAGAGGAAGCAATCTGAGCTATCTCACATCAGAGCTGATTTCTCAAGATCCGAGCAAGCACAGTAATTCTGCAGGGAGTTTAATCCCGACTTGAGTCAACATATCGAGAGAGAAGGGAGAGCAGGGACAAGGGGAAAAAATGAGAACCAAGACCTGTCATGTAAAGGTACAAGATCCCAGTGATGAATGGAACTGTACTGTATACCTAAAATGTACCAATAAACTCAATGAGCGGAAAAAAAGAGAAAGTCTATTGCATTCTTTGTTTATGATTTTAATAAACATCGTCACTATCCCTCTAAAGTGACTGTACCGATTTATACTCTCAGCAGAAGCCTGTATAACTTCTTTGATGTTATTTTTTCTAAATATTAATAGGAAATATGTGTCACTTTTAAAGAAAAATAATTCAATATAGTATACACCAGTACATCATTCAATTTAAGAAATAAAACATTGCCCCTCAAAGATAAAAAACTATTCTGATTTTCTCGTTAACATTTTTTTGCTTTAAAAAGAAATGACTTCCTGTTTGATTATACCTTTAAATAATAACGTCGCCGGCTAACATTGGAGTCAAACAGAGTATATTCTTTGGTGACTTGCTCGCTTTTGAGGTTCACCAGTGTTGATGAATGTGGAGTGGAGCCAGGGTTCATTTTTGTTCCCCACTCTCCTACAGCATTTACTATATGATTACCCCACAATTAATTTTTCTGTTATAGTTGGTGCACATTTAGGTAATTGTGGTGTTTCTGCTTATATGCAGCCCTGCTACGTTAAAGCATATAAAATTAGAAGGTTAACACACACATGCCCTTAAAATTTGAAAACAAAGTTAGATGTTCTGTAGGATTATATACTACTTTTCCCCCCCTTAAACTCTATACTGTGTATGATCATGGGCCAGTTGAATAATCATGGTTTTAGTTTCCTCACCTCTAACATGAAGGAGTCTGACTCAGTGATTATAAAGATGTCTTTAATCTTACATAATTCTGTGGTTTGATCATGAAGTATGTTTGCTCCCAGAGTTGTTTATAATCCTACTGGGCCATATATGCGCTAATGGATTAGTTTTAAACTCACAGGCACTGATAACTAGAAGACGTCTTATTTTCTAATTTTTTGGGCTTTTTTCCATTCATTAATTTTATCAGTACATCTTACACATACAATATGCTGACATTCATTCTTGGTAATTTGTGCCTTTACATAATATATCTTGGTTCTTTTTCTTTAAAAAGCAATTCCCCTGCCCTCCCTTCACCCCCTCCACCTCTCCCTATTTACAAAGACTTTATTTCCATTTTTTCTCTTTCTCATATTTATTCCTTTTCCCTCCCACTTCCCCTTCCCCTTTGGACCTTTTCTTCCTTTTTCAGATTATACATTTTGACCTTTATTTATACTTTCAGTTTCTCACACCAGAGAAACTATTCAGTATTTACACGCATGTCCTATTTATTTCACTTAAGAGTATTACCTCAATGTGTATCCATTTAGCTATACATTCACTGGAGGAAAGATAGCCTCTTTAATAAATGGTGCTGGAAAAATTGGGTTTCAACTTCCCAAAGGTAAAAACTAGACCTATATCTCTTACCATGGCACTAAACTAAAATCAAAATGGATTAAAGATCTAAATATTAAAACAGAAACACTAAACCAGCTGGAAGAGAGGTTAGGTGGAACTCTTAAAGACATTGGCATGGGAAAAGATTTCATGAACAAAACCTCATTTGTATGTGAACTAGCACAAAGAATCAACAAGTGGGATGTCTTCTTATTAAAAAGCTTCTGCACAGCAAGAGAAACCACCAATAGTGTGAAGAGATAACCCACAATGTGGGAAAAAATTTTTACCAGCTGTTCCTCAGACAAAGGTCTACTATCTAGACTATATAAAGAACTTAAAAAAAAAAAATCAGACCTCCCAACTTTTTTGGCTTTTTGAGACATTGTTTTACTATATAGTTCAGATGGATCTTAAAGTCATTACAACTCACTTGTAGCAATCTTCCTGCCTCAGCCTCCTCAGTACTGGAATTATAGGAGTGTGCCACCATGCCTGGTATTCAGAAGACTTTTTAAAAAAAATTGATGCCAAGATTTTAAGTGACCACCAAAGTTATATAACTGCCAGGATCAAGAGGGCCAATTTCTGGGACAGGATTTTATTTTAGAAAATTATAAATTTATTTTAGAAATTATCAATTTATTTTATAAATTATAAATTTAAAATATAACTAAAGGTGGTCAAAATGGTTATATACAAAGATGAAACTTTTTCTAAAATGCTGTTTGTCTATAGAAAACAATAAATTGGCCAGTTTATTACATAGAATAGGATATCTGTGAATTGCATGAGTCTATACTTTTAATCACTGAAAGATATTTCCAGTTTGAGGAAATCTTTGTCTATCTGTACTCCTGTGTTAGGTTTGTTATCAGCATTGCAAAAAGGAACTTTAAAAGTTAGATTTCTTTCGTTTAGAGATAAGCCACTTCTCCAGGCTTCCTCTTATTGAGCACATAACCAACACCCACTCCTCTCTTTGCCAGGATGAAATGACAGAGTATGTGAGTGCCAGTCCCAAAAGACTAGCGCCTGGTTTCCTTTCCACAAGAAAGGACTGTCTCTCTGCACTGTCTCTCTGTGCTCCCTCCCTTCTGTTCCTTCTATAAAAGACCCTTGCCCACCTTTACATAGGAAGATGGTGATTTGAGACAAATAGGCCCCTTCATCTCCCTGTAGTAAGCTTTGAATAAATCCTTTTTCCTTTTTCCCAAAATACATGACCTTCTTTGATGTGGTCAGTGGTGAGCAAATGAATCCAAGGGTATAAATCCAAGCGTATAAATCAGTTTCATTACTTAGCAAGTATTCACTTATCTTTCTCCTTATGGGCAGAGTATTCTTCCTCTGCGATAGTCTGGATGTCGAATGGTTCTAAGTACATGTGTCAAAAGCTTTGTCCCCAGGGAGGTGATGTTGGGAGACGTTGGAACCTTTAAGAGGTGAGGCCCCGTGGGAGGCCTTTGAATCACTGACACCATTTTCTCAAAGTAGTCTTCGAGATCACAGCGTTTCTCTTCCTCCCTACTTTCTCACAACAAGCTGAGCAGCTTTGCCCTGTCATGTGCCTCTCCAAAGTGGTGCTGGCGTGGAACCTCCGAAACTGTGAACCTATAGTGCCTCTCTTTGTGAGTTATCTCGGATGCTTTGTTCCAGTGATGGAAAGCTGCTAATACACCCCTCGATGTTGGGCTGGAAGTGATGTGGTGGCCGGTGGTACCTCAGCAGTGGTGATAGAGCTTCAAATTGCTTGTGCGGCTGGCTTTAGTTTCTTATACCTCTTCAATTCCCCGAGGAGCAGCTGTCCCTTCAGCTGAGTCTAGAAAGAAAACGCCCAGGAAAAAAAGAGAAGGCCTGTGCACATGCCATAGGAGGGATCCAACCCAGGTGGACATGCGGCCCTAAGCAGAGAACCCTAGGGGAACGTAGTCTAGATCAGTCAGCCCTCAGCTGACCTAAAGCCACATGAGCAAGAGTACACGCTACTTCTACCTATTCTTACTGACAGAGGGGAAATATGAATGAAATCTCCGAAGTTTACTCCAATTTATTCTCTAAACATCTTCCAGTGTGAATAAGATCGTCACTTCCTTGCTTAATCCTGCCCGCCCCTACCATCGTTTTTCATCCCAGTTATAACAAATCTCATTTTCTACCTAACCTTAAATTTCAAAACTTTCCAGCTCAGAAACTTGGTCTTCTCTGACATTATAGTGCCTTACGTTTCCTCTCATCCCTTAAACCAGTCATTTTTTCATTCATCTAATCAAAATATGAGTGTCTGCTATCTATCATGTGTGTTTTGGAAGCTGAGGATACAATAACAAATACAGCAAAATTCCTGCTGTCATATATGCTAGAAGAGGGAGACAAAAAAAAAAAAAGAAAAATAACTGCATAGAATTAGGTGTAAAAGCATCTCTGCTAGGTGTAAAATCAAAAGCCCTGAGGCAGGAATGTGACTGAGAGGTGAAAGGAAGTGTGACCAGGCAGGGGTTAAAAGCACTAGAGTCACAGAAGGAGATGGTATGACATCTGGTCAAAGAGCAGAGCAGCAGGGGAGCAAGACCAGGTTAAATGAGCCTTTAGAAATGCAGGTCCTATCTAGTCATTTTTTCCTTCCAAAATTCTATACCAGCTTCCCTTTTCATCCCCCACTAGTCTCCTGCAGTCCTGCAGTCTCCTGCCTTCAGCTATCTGTCTAATTTTCTTCTCTACTGTTGTTTTTTTCTTCTCTTCCTTAATAGGCTAAGTTCCTTCTCAACTTATACTGTAGTTTTTAAAGCCTTCTTGGTTTTGAAATGACATCTCCTGGTCAAATTGCCCAGTTTCATACTCCCAGTCAAATACATTTCTTCTCACAGCTTAGTTATGTTCTTATAACACGGTATATTCATATATTTACATCATTGCTTTGCTCAAAGTAGCTGTTGAACACTTACCCCACAAGGCGCTACATTAGCTGTTCATTTGTTCAGCACCTAGCCCATTCTTACTGAGCATTTCCTCTGTGCGAATCCTGTTCTAAGAATTGGTGAGATAATGATCAGTAAGACAGGTGATCAGGCCTCTGTTCCTATGAAGCTGACAGTTTTAGAGAACAGCAAACAGGAAGAAGAGGAGTAGAAGCGGAAGGAGAAATCACTTAGATTCCCTTGGAGTGGAATAAGGGTAGAAACTAATCTAGAGTCAGTTTGAAACAGAATGAGAAGTAGCTTGAAGCAAATTTGGATATCAAGTCATAGGAGAAATATTTACATATAAACTCTGATGTAACTGGCTAAAGTACTCATTATTCCAATTAATCATAATAAGACCGAGTATATACTGTTGATTTTTTTTTAAAAAAATTGTCTCTTCAGGGTCTGGGGACTTAGATCAGTGGTTCCACTGCCTGCCTCACAACCACAAGGACCAGAGTTTGATCCCTGGTACCAAAAAACAAACAAAACAGAACAAAAACTTTCTCTCTGGTGTGAGAAACTGAAAGTTTAAAGAAGAACCAAAACGTGTAATAGATAACGAGAAATAGGAAGAAATTATTCAAAAGGAAAGGGGAACTAGAGGGGGG